CCGGCTCTATTCAGGGCTTTCACACCAGTCTCACTCACTTCTCACTCCCTGGGTTCCTCCTCACAGGTCATAAATTAAGCAGAGGGAGGGGAGGCTTGAGATCAGAGAAAAAAGATCAGTCAGGACCTCATTTCGGTTCGGTTTTATCACACATTCTGTGATATAGCGGTGCAGAAAGAGTCAAAGTTTTATAAGCAACAGTAAGAAGCAAACCTGCTGCTCTGAAGGCAATTCTCTGATGAAAAGACAAGTCTGTGGATTTGTGAGTCAAGACACTGCATTTTGGGTTTATCCACTTGGGGCCACACTGCTGTTGACACTATATGTTATTTTAATGAGTGTTGCGGCGTAGTGGTTAATGTGGCCACAGCTCATGGCTCTGAGGTGCTGCAAGGCTGTGCATATGTGTGTGTGTGTGTGTGTGTGTGTGTGTGTGTGTGTGTGTGTGTGTGCGCGCACACGCACATGAGAGACACAGAAAGATGGTGGGGGATGGGGGGGTCACAATATGGTTATGGTGACAAGCACTGGGATAACTCATACAGCCTCTCCTGTCAAAACAAAGACTACTTGAAGTGAATGAGGGCAGCAACGTACTTTACAGCAACTGGAGAAAGCTTTTGGTGCTGCAGACTTTTATTTTCCTTCATGTGCTCAGAAAGACTTCATTCTCATTTTCCCTATTCAGATTTTTAAAAAATGCATCATGATGGACATATTGTATTCAGCAAGGTCGCCATACTCAACCCAGCAGTGCATACTGTGACAATGACTTAATGACATGAATAGGGGAAATATTGCACAGTTCAGTGGCTTGTATTGCGTGCCATTATCCCTTTGTGAAACAGAAAGATCAAAATTATGAAATATCATGCGACACATGTGGGATCTATTCAGCGGTATCACAAAACTCCCATTGAAAAACGGTTAAATGGCTTTGCATGAGGCTGTGTACAGAACCATATGGACGCCTCCACATCTCCTCATTTCATACATGTTTCTTTTGACATCAATAATGCCTTGGTATCCAGTGGCGTTTGGAACGCATCCAAAACAATTATAAAGTTGCCGTGGAAACTGAGGTCCTGTGCCAGGGTGAAGCATACTGTCTCCGCTCAGATAACCGCATGGAAAGTCACAGCAAACAAAGCACTTGACAGGGGTGCAGAAATGGGAGAAATAAAAAGAGGGAGGGAGGTGAGGGATGGGCAGAGGTGAAGAGACAGAGACGGAATAACAAAAGCGGTGACTGTGGCAAATTTGGACATCACAGATGATGAAAACATGCCCAAAAGATTTGCATTTTGTGTGTGTGTGTGTGTGTGTGTGTGTGTGTGTGTGTGTGTGTGTGTGTGTGTGTGAGAATTACAGACATATTGCATTAGAAAGCTCTTGTGATGTGGACATTTATACAACCTAATCTTGAAACATTGCTAGAAAAAGTTAAATTTAGGCTGAGTATCAGTGTTATGTTAAGGTTCAGCTAAGGGTTAAGTTTAAGCAGGTACAGGAACACTATGTGCGCATTTGTGTGTGCATGAATGAACATTATCGTGGCAAACTAACACACAACCCCTCAGTGACACATGCAATTTTGTGTGCGGAACATTGGGACTGGTGTAATGTATTGTAACCTTATGCTAACCTAATGAACAAGGGGATGAAAGCGGTGTAATGGAGGCATTTTTTACATTCATCTTTAGGCTCCTCATTATGCGCCGAATATGACAACCTCGTTAGGAGTGCACGAAAGATTACCCATGCGGGTAAAGAGCACCACCTTCACGCAAAAAAAAAAAAACCACCACAAACACACAGAAAAATTGTAAAACAGGTAGGAATGTAGTGTGCAGAGACTGTACAATTGGTTCACACACGCATACACATACACATACACACACACCCAAACCCCCTGTGGGAGTAACTGGGCTCTTGGAGTCAGAAAGACAATCTGACTGGCTTTCAAAGACCCCTGACTGTCCAGTCTGTTTATTCAGATGGGAGCACAGAACGCCACCATTTCAAAGTCATTGCATTACTTTGTTTTGATCTCACTGATGAAGAACATAAGTTTCAGTGTTCTGGTTGGGCAGTTGGGGTGATAAAGCAGGCCCTTGATTCTACCTACAGTTCAAGCTTTATTTCACATGTGATGTAGCAAGTTTAAAGCTGAATTAAATATATACCTAAGGAAAAAAAAAATGCTGTTCTCTACACTATGTCAGGTCACTATAGGCAATTACTGTAACATGAATCAATTAAAACATGTTTTTAGTTGTCTGCGCCTGAAGTGTCAGCAGATCTGTGTGCGAGTCATCATTTGTTCTCATTAGTGTTTCCTGGAGAAATCAGTAGCGCTTGAGGAAATCAGGTAATTTGTATCCGCAAATAAGGATCCTCGACCCAACAACGTCACGTCATTTGTAACAAAGTAGTAAGTGTATTTGTTTGTGTACTGTTTGTGTATATCAGTGTGTGTCTATTTGTGACCATTTTGTTTTACAATGAAAAGGCAATTTCTGCATTAGTCTTAGTAATGGCAATGAAGATGAGCATCATTAGCTCAACACTGCTCTCCAGTGGACACAAAGTATAATGACCCACATAAAGTTTAAGTCAGTTGTGTGTCAAGATTTTTCTCTTTATGATGTAGTTATTCTACTGCATTAAGGTATGTGACATATTTTGACTATACAAACCACCAGTATTTTATATCTTATGTAAGTCAGTGCAGCATAAGACTGTAAACTATTTTTTTGTATTTAGATTTTTCTTTCTCTGTATTACTGTTAATTGTAACTTTATTCGCATAGTCCACCTACAGATAGTTTAGAGAGTATCTGTAACATTTCAACAGCTCATAAATTGAGATTCAACAGCTGTTTTCTGATATTGCACCACTGGGGTTAAGGTTTGGTTAGGTTTTGGCACATAAAAACATTGTGGTTAGGGTAGGTTCATGAATTCTCACATATAGAGTATATGTGAGAATTCACATATATATAATCTGTTAAACATGTAAAGTCAAAGCAAAACAGTTAAAATGTTACAAATACATTTATATAGTATATATAAAGTATAGTATAGTATAGAATAGTATAGTATAGTATAGTTTAGGTATAGTATATCTGTAGCTGGACTATCCAAATAAAGTGGCATCCTGTTGACATTGAACAGAATAGTGAGCCTGCAGCTACAAGGGTGATATTTTCAAAATGATAAAAGCAATCTGGTTAAGCACAAGCAAACTAATCTGGGATTAAATATGGAATAATCAATCTCCTCTAAGAACTGTCACTTTTTAGAAACTGCCATCCAAGCTTGAGGGCCTCCAACATGGCTGCCGCAGCAGACGTAGCTGGATAGATATTCCTTTATTTGTCCCACAATGGGGAAATTCCAATGTTACAGCAGATAAGTGGATAGAGAAAAAAACAATATAAAAAACAGTAAGAGTAGGGAAATAATAAAAACACTAAGTACAAGAGAATCCACAACAACAGATAACACAAATAGTAGCAGCAGTTGCACAGAGGGTTACGTGATCTGAAAGTCCTCTGGCCACTGTACCTAATAACAAAATATGAAACTAACAAGATGAGAATGAAGCTCACATAAACAGAATTTACCATTCATAAGTTAGTTAGCACACTTTGTATCATCACCATCCCATACTTTCTCCCAGGAAACCACACCAACAACAACTCTCTATTAGATGCCAACGCTCCCATACTTTTATCAAAACGAATCAAGCAGTTTTTAAACTGTCTGATGGGAGCAGCCTCAATCGATGCACAAACATATCCAGAGAACTTTTACCTTCATGTCTCTATTGCTTGTGTATGCAGCTGAGTGACATGCAGTACAGCTTTGTGGTTACAGCTGTTAACAATTATTCTCCCACAGAATTGTAGGGACAGCCAAACTATAGTGTCTCTCATAACATGCAATTTGCTAGAATACAGTAGAGGTAACACAAACAATACTTGACATCCGATAGTAGGCCTAGAAATATAACCTTAAACGAGGAGCAATGCTATTGTTGAGGGATTCAGATGTATCGTATCTATACATATTACACACATATTGTTGAACTTTCACAATTGTGTGTTTTCATGTTTTTATGTGTTATTGTTAAAGGACCAGTGTGTAGGATTTAGTGGCATGCAGTTGCAGATTACTGGCTACAAATATCTTACTGCCACTGCCCAACATATTCATACAGGCAAACATGCAATGCGTTAATGTCGTGTTTTTGGGTGACATATTTTTAAAACTGAATGTCTCAAAGACTGCATGCCAAACCAAAATGTAATTGTGTTTAACATGCAATGAAGCATCCAAACTAATCCTAATCGAATCTTCGACCCTCAGTGAGCACCAGATATAGGTTATTTTCCACTACTGCTTTCTCTATTTGGATGGGTAATTTCAGCACAGTGGTTGCATGAGCGTGCAGATGTGAGTGAGTGAATGTCTGGATAATATGTGAGGTGCAGCAGGTATGGTGAGGTCAGGAACTCATCATTTTGGATTCTATGTTGTACAGTACGACTATAATCTTTAGGAGAATACAAGGAATACAATTATTTTATTTCATCATATACCTTTTTAAAGATAAAAAAAGTTCACAACAATAGACAAAGAGCAACATTCCCAGTAACTAACATGGTTAATTATAAACAAACATCCCATTGTGCTGTGCCTAATGTGGGATGTCACATTTTCACTCTGAAAAGCTTCTCTGTTGTTTGTGGAATCTATGAAAAATGTAAATGTGTTTTTTTTATTATCATTATAAATATTTCTAACACCTCTTTTAATCTTCTAATGTGCGCCTGTTGACCAGAAACTTCAGAAAACAACCCCTTGGCCCTTACTGACAGTCTGATATGTTCTATTACACATTGTTCTAGTCTACTCTACTGTACTCTATTGAGTTGTCTTCTATACCCCCGGCTTATCATTGGCGCATGGAAATGGGAAGTACAATGACGTCGACCAATGAGATTATAGGTTTATTCCGAGGGCTTGGTTCCGGAGTGGCCTGTTATTATTCTGAGTAGCAGGTGAAATAACGGTGAGTAATTCTGATTCCGATAAAAAAAAAAAACAACAACTGTCTGTTTCATGGCTAATATTAACTGCATAGACCACAATGCATTTGTCGACCATAGCTCGTCGCTTTGTACAAGTCGCCGTCTCGTTTAGATGAAAAAGTGGTCACATCAAACCTCGGCGTGCGCTCTCTTTACCTGCCTAACATTCAGAGGCACTTGAACACACCACTATGATAATAATCAGTCAGTGCACTGACATGGCCTACATATGGGAGACGGCCGGTGTACCTTGTGTCGGCTTTAGGGCCTGTTGTTTACGTGTAAACAAACGGGAGTAAGAGGATTTCGCATGGTGGTGTCTTCCCGTCAGAAGCCCCCCCTCGTCACTTCCAGATACAAGCCAGATTATCTGTGTCGCCCACCATGTAAAGTCTGCACACCATGTAAAGTCTGCAGCAGCTCGCCCCCCAGCCAGGCTGTGCACCGGCTCATTTACACCTCAACCAGGGCAAGGACGCGATATCGGAGAGGACCAGGGTGCTCCGAGTTGTCTTATTAACTTAACAGTACAGTACAGACACAGAGAAACATTAACCGCTGTCCATCTGTCGCGATTTGTCTTCATTTGTTGAGTGTCACCAAAAGAAGCACAAGGTGGTGCTGTATCTCGTTTTATGCATTTTGTTTCTCCATAGCTCCCCCCTCCCCCCCAGTTGGACAAAATGAATATGTATGCTGTGCCCAGTCCGGGAATACCAGGCTGTCCACCAGGGTTAGAATACCTGACTCAGGTGAGAAATACCACTATACTAGTCTTGGATTGCTCTTTGCATAGACTTGTTCACTCCGATGCTATTAACTGCACCTTTTGGCACTGTAATTTGTTACCACATGCTCTTGTGTAGTTCTTATTTGAGTTTTAAATGCCTCTTGTTACTTATTTCTCTTACTTTCTATATTTATCTGCACTTATTTCTGTCATTGCACTGCAACCACCAAATTTCCCCTGCTGGAGATGTAATACATGTTAGTGTCACTCAGTTGGCAAGCTCATTGCCTACATAAATTCGGTTTGTTTATATCAAGGGCAGACGAATTGAGCACCTTCCTCTTTCTTTAAATATTTGACATGGTTAAGTACAGTGCCACCAACAACTCCCTCCATCCACCCCCCCCAACCTTTTTTTAAATCTTTCTTTAAAACAAATTGCATCAGATCAACTAGTTTTAAAGCCTATTTCACACCCTAATTGTAGATGGAGATATTATAATGCACTGATGCTACAAATTATAGGCCTTTTTCATGAAAGACATTTTACGTTTTAAGTTTAAATAATAAAATGAATGATAGCTGATTTTCATTAAGCTGTTTCAGTTTCAGCTATTGCTCACTGTCAAGGCTCACTGGGACAATTTAATAGAACAGAACCGTTGTTAATGTGAGGAATTACACCTGTGCTTTTGCTATTATGACAAGGCAAAATTTCTACTGCACAAAATGGCCTATTGAAAAAGGGAGTTGCTGATAGTTGATGCCGCTGTTGTCAACCCTCTGCCAGCCCTGCAGTCACTTCTGCAGACTGAAAGTGTGCACTGTTTCTGCTGGAGCATCTTATACACATTAGCAGTGCTCAGGGAAGTATATAACAGTGTCCACAGAAACACAATATACAGGTTCACTTAAAAAGAAGTGACTGCACTGCATATGTTTATACTCAGTTTATAACAGCTCAGTGGCCCATACCATTTTTTACTTGCCAGATGCGAAATGTGAGCATGCTTATGGCAGTCTTTTTTTTAAACACTCGCCTCCAGCTACACCTACTCCACTGAAATGCTGCATGTGCATGAATCCAATGTATGTGGTTATCTGGTTTTCAAGGTGGATCAGCTCCTCATCAAACAGAAAGTTGAGCTCGTCGAAGGTAAAGCACGTCAACGTGGATTTGAGAAAATACACAATTCATGGTTTGCAGGGTTTAGCAACGACGCCCTCACACGTATTGTTTGTCCACGCAGCCCTCGTTGGTTTCGAAAGCAACAACAAGTATGAAGTCCGTAACGCAATGGGCCAGAACGTGTTCTACGCTGTCGAGGAGAACGACTGTCTGAGTCGACAGTGTTGCGGCCCCATGCGCTCCTTCACCATCCACGTCCTCGACAATTTTGGACAAGAGGTCATCACCGTCACCAGGCCACTTAAGTGCATGTCTTGCTTCTTCCCTTGTTGTCTACAAGAGGTGAGTAAAACCACTTTCAGACATGCTCACTTTGTCTCCATGAAATTACAGTGTTCGAGGTGGATTGTTTACACTCAACGTCGTCTAGTTTTACATGTTCCTTTGAAACACAATTTCTTGTGAGGATATGACTACAAATCACACTCAGTTCTCCCACAATCCCTCTCTCAGCTGGAGGTGCAGGCTCCCCCCGGTAACACAGTGGGGTACATTGTACAACAGTGGCACCCGTTCTCCCCTAAATTCATCGTTGCGAACGAACACAGCGAGCCTGTACTGAAGATCCATGGGCCCTTCTGTGGATGGAGCTGCCTTCCAGATGTTGACTTTGAGGTGGGTTTATCTAAACACAGAAATCCATTAAATTTGTGAAAACATAACACGACATGGTTACATTCTCTCTCTGCCCTCTGGACATTTTGTTGTAAGGGATCCTCCTCGTGCTCTGAAGCAGGAAATATGTTTCCAATCAGAGCGAGCTGTAGCTTGGATGAAGCCATCGCACAGGGCATGCTCTTGTGTGGTACAGTGTGGCCATTGTTCCACGGCTCAGCTGGTTTTATTAGATTGAGCTGTGAAGGGGATTTGGGTCAGTGATACAGACCTTTTACCAGACCCAGAGGAGGGATAACTGAAGCGTGATATTACCATCCCGGTTCCTCTCTGGCAGCTTTGAAGTCATTGCTGGGGATACAAAACTAAAAGTTACTGTGGCAGCGGGCAAAATCCTGAAATTGGATGGGATTAGGAATTGTTCCATGAACTCCCTCCAATAAAACCAAACAAGTTTAGGGATTGATCTTTATCCTAATGCAACACATGTCAGCAGTTTCTCTGTTCTGTAACTCTCTCTGCAGATTTTGACAATGGATGAAGTCAGTAAGATCGGGAAAATCAGCAAGCAGTGGACAGGACTTCTTCGGGAAGCGTTCACAGATTCAGACAACTTTGGCATCCAGTTCCCCATGGATCTGGATGTGAAAATGAAGGCTGTAATGATCGGTGCATGTTTTCTCATTGTAAGTGAAGTAATAAGCATTTCTATGTGTCTATAGTAGCAAAAAAGTAACATGATTAATTATAAAGTTATATTTCTTTTTATAGGATTCTCTCAGAGCAAAATAAGAGCAGCTATTGCCAAAATGTGGCTGTTACAGATGCAGTAGCCTCATATGACCCTGCTCGTGTGTTTCTCTGAACTGGTAGTCGGAAATTTCATGTACCTACCACTTAATGTACCACCAGCCTACATTTTGTGGGAAGTGTGACCTGAAACCACCCCGATCACCAGAAATGCAACTTTCTGTTGTAGCTAAAGTCCCATTTGCTAAAATGCTTAAGTGCTAAAATCTCAGCATGTGTTCACTGTTAATTTGGCAGTGACATATCAGTGAATAGATTCTACAACTTAGCTGATATATTTCAACTGTCAATGTATTGCTTTTGCTTTTTTATTAACTTTTGTCTTCTTCTTGCTTCTATACAGGATTTCATGTTCTTTGAGACTACCAACTAGGAGCCAAACAGGATATCCTTGTAAGCATACAACATTCCTGGAAGAACAAGGCCACAAAGCCATAATGATCAGTCCCAAATGCCCTAACAGAGAACAACCTTCAAACAGATAGTTCTTTTTTAAAGTAACAAAAGGTACCTTAATGTTTTAACTTTGCATGAACAATGAAATAGAAAGTTTGTTTTTGTCTTAGCTGCTCAGGTTGGTTGTTAAAACACGTTGCCAGGCTGTGAGTGCACAGTGCAGTGTTTTAAGACAATGTTATTAAGGAGGTTTTCATTTGTGTTTACATTATGGTCGCTGAGCCCATCTGGGCCCAGAACCTTAGTTGCTACAAAAAAACAAAAATCAAAAACAAAAAAAAACTTGAATAGAAGGATAATATCCATATACAAGTAAATGAAAAGGGAATATCATTACAGGCAAGTGCTGTTATACAGTTTGTAAAAGAAATGATGGTCAGTATGCAAAAGGGGGTCAGCCACATGGCACTTGTAATGTGGTCATATTAATAGTCAAGATGTTAATTTATATAGAAAAGTATGCTTGTAGCTATATTCTGTGAGAACTGAAGGACTCATGTAATGTAGTAGTTTGTAGTACAGATATTCAATGCTCTTATTCATTGAGTTATATTTTGGTCTGTTGAACAATTTGTCAAGATAGAGCAATGTGTGTGTGTGCACCGCTTTGTGTGCGTCTGTGTGCTGTGAGTGTCCTTGTAATAATAATACGAATAAGAATATTTTCGATGCCATAATGATTATGCATTGTCAAGCCTGAAGAGGTTGTCTACTTGGGAACAGATGGGTTATGGCTGGATGTAGTGTCCCAGTCTTGTCCACAAGAGGGAGCTAGCTTTTCATTTAACAAAAAAACAAAAAAAACCCCACACACTGCCCAAATGGACAAACTCAATACCTGCTTATGCCATAGGTTTTTATTCAAATATTAGTGTCTAAAGACATTGTATATTTTTGGACAAACTCAGGTTGAAATGCATGCTACTGTATGATAGTGTTAGATACTTTGGCTCCGGGAATTACACACCTGCACCTGATACTATCAATACAAAGATAATGATTTTGGTTTTGTACATTCAATCATCTAAATATCAGTATTTCATGTACATTTCCTGGTGTATGAACTTGAATTGTGATCTTTCTCACTGTTACATTACACATGGTGTGACAGCTCTACGTGTGTCAAAAATGCAAAATAAATCCCTGATTTCCATCAAATGACCATTGATACTGCTGCGCACCATGTTTAACTGTAAAATTCAAATATGAGTATGGCCATCGGTCTGATCTGGGATGGTATAAAGTAAAGTGTTGTAGCAAGGACATTATCTATGTGCTCTTCTGTAGCATCATGATAAAAAAGTGTTTTTCCTTCACATGTATGTCATCTGTGGTTCTGGAAAACTGGGAAAAAAAACATCCATCTTTAGTCGTTTATTAACTTATATAAGTCTTAAAAGTTTAGAGCCGTTTATTTTTGTAAAAAGTATTATTAACTGCTAAGAGATAATGTTTCCAGTAGAGTTAAATGTGATTGTGTTAACAGTGTTTTATTCTGCCTTCAATATATTGACTGTTTGTAGAGATACAACTGGATTTATTTCACCTTTTCTGAGCAGCAACTCGATTTTAAGACTAAAAACAAGTACTTTAGATGGATGTTTTTTGCAGTCTATTCTGTTTTCACGGCTGAGGTTGTTGAGAAACTACTCATTTAAGTAAATTCGAATTTCATTCTTACCATTAAGATTAGCCTGATCATTGGCATGTCTTGTTTGGTTGAAAGCATTAATAGTATAAGATGCTGGTGCTACATCCTCTGAAGGCTCTTTGATTGTGTTTAAAAGCCAAAAATTTAAGTCAGAATGTGATACAAAGGGATTTTAGCTATTCCCAGTAAGTTATATATTAAAAACTATTTAAGTACTTATTCTTCTACTTTTGCACTAATACTGTGAACTAATACATCATTTAGTCATGCAATGAATGCAAACAAACTCTGTGAGCTAAGCTTAAAATTGTGCAAATAGTCCATAGAAACACTTCAATAAAAAATTATATTGTGATGTGTGCAGTTCTTTTGATGTTGGTTTATTCTATCAGCAAATCCATTTAGCATTAAAAACTACTGATCCTCAAAAGAAAGATTATTTTTTAAAACGTTAGCACTCACTATCTGGACCCACAGTCCACAGTGAATACAGTCTGTAACTATGAGTGTTACAATGGTCAGACCTTGTAAATGGTCATGTAAAACCACTGAACCTTGCTTGTTAATCAGTCAAGTTCTCTACCTCCTGTAATTGCCACCTTCACATTTTTTAAGCAATTTTCTTGAACGGTCCTTGTGCTTGTGATATGTAAATGTAATTTTTTTGGGGCTGAAAAAATCTTGCTTGCAGAGTAATTGACTGGACCGATTCCGTCAAACATAGATGTCCTTGAGGGATAACATGAAAAGGGAAATGAGAACATTTCATTTTCTCCCCTTTCAAGTAAGCCATTAACCTGAAGCTGTTAACCTTGAGTGTAACCTAAAGAACTCTCATTTAAAACTGCCTTTTTAAGCTTTTTTTAATCACACATCAATGAAAAGAGCTACTTTGGGGCTCCATAAAGAGCAAGGTTGCAGTTTGGAACAGCTCATACAGTATTTTCCCCCAAACTGTTATGTCTGAGGAACAATATTACCATTTCATGCATAGATTACATTTTTTCATTATTTTTTTTAATTACTATATTCTCCAACATTTCAGTGGGGCTGATGTCAGTGTGTCCATGGTTATTGTCAATATTCTGCGGTGCTGAGTGATAATTCTTATAGTCCAACACATTTCAGGCCATAGTTTACATCTGAATTTTCACATTGTACTAACTTACTGAAGAACAGAATTTCGGTGACTCATGGTAACCACATTTTGGGACGATGATAGATTTTACACATTGCTTGGCATCGTCTTCTGGAATATATGACGCAGCAGTGCTATAGTTAATGATGCTGTGGTTGGAAAACAATGTGAACTGTGGAGACATGTACATGGAGAGCCAGGGTGGACATAGATATACGATGATTTCTTATTCAATTTCCTCGTCATCATTAGACAATTTTTAGTCATACAAGGAGCTCAGCTCTCGGGATGTCAATGGTGGTCTGCCAGTTGGACTGCTTTCGGGTTATTATCTATCATCACCTGTTATTATGTCAAAATTCTAATATTTTATGTCCTAACTCAACTTCAACTATACTTTGTGTTTGGGAGTATCATGCCCACATGCTAAACCAACATGGTGAATGTGGTAAACATTATACCTGCTAAACATCAGCATATTAGCATCATCATGGCTTCCTCTAATCATTCATGTGATCTCAAGAAAACAGTTTTCCATTTTTGATAACTGAAAATGTTTAGAAATGTTTTCATGTGCATCCAGGTCTGCGTTCATTAAAATACACATTTTAACAGACAGTCGAGGGACATGTGCTTGATTTTCATTCCAATAACTGCAGAAGTTCATGAGAATCCAGCAAAAAATGTCCAGTCTTGTTTAAAATTCCTGGATTTACACCAAAAACGATTCACTTTTTCCCGGCCCACTTTTTGAGTTCCTAAAGAAACAACACAGTCAAAAGTACATTTATAACACTGTGCTGTTTTACTACTGTAGCCACGATCCACATAAACTGTCACATATAACGTGGTTTTTAGCTGCATCTTATTTTGTTTTCCTGTGTATCTATATATTTTGGTGCTTGGTTGGTACCATAAAGTATCTGACCTTTGAACTCCTAGTGACCACCACATCTCTATTAACTTCATTGGAGACTTCCAACTAAATGCCTGTTCAGAAACAGCTGTGTCTGAATTGATACATTTTTTTTTTGACTCTGCAGTGCTTTCTTCTGTTTTGAGTGGACTTAGAGATTTCCTGAGAAATTACCCTCCCTAGGGGTACTTTGTAAGAAAATGTTCATGTTCATGGGAATTTCGCTGGAAGATAATACCAAGAATTGGTTTGGTATGAATCCAACATGCAGACCACACATCAGTGATGTCAATGATGTCACCGCAGCAGTGATTTGCTGGCTGAGATGTCCCAGACTGGGAAAAACAGATGTTTTCTCCAGCTACAGTACAGGGTGCTGTTTTGTGCAACATTCAAATTTAATTGACTACCCTTATAATTAAACACATATTATAGCTTTGCAGCCCATAAAATGTGTTATAATTTTGTGTTACATGTGTGTAAACATCCAGTGCGTAACATCTAGGAGGCTCCAATGGCAGAAATGGAAAATAATGTTCATAAGAATGTTTTCATTAGTGTATAATCACTTGAAAATAAGAATAGTTTTGTTTTCCTTAGAATTAACTGTTTTTATCTACAGATGCCGTGGGCCACCATCCACGGTGGCTGCCATGTTGAACCATCATGTTTCTGCAGTAACCCAGAACGGACTGACCAAACACTGGCTGTGGATAGGGCTGTTTGCATGTTTTGCACGTTTCGCGGCCGCCATAGTTTCTCCCTCACGCTTGGAAAGGGAAAGTGAGTTGCAATCTGTAACTACACCGCTTGGTGCCACTAAATCCTACACACTGGACCTTTAAAAAGGATACTATGAGTTACATGAGTGGATTTGAAGTCTGGAGGACAGGAGACGCAAACAAACAGCAATACAAACAACTTTAACACGCCTTGCCTTGTTGATGGAAGCAAACATGTCCGTTGGGGCAAGCCAGCCATGTGTTGTAATGTGTTTACACTACTGACACATTCAGGAGCTGTGGGCTGAGGTTCTTCTATTGTTTGTTTCCTTGAACTGCTGGGTTGAAGTACTGGCCGCATTTTGGGGATTTTGAAAGACCTTAAAATTCATTTTAAATGAGATCCTGAAGACTGCTTGGGTCTGTTTGTGTAAGAATGGCCTGTTACAGTTAAGATAACAAATCAGTGAAACCAAGTCTTAATGGAAACTCTGTTTCTGGCCAAAATAAAAATATGCTATTATGATTTCTATTGGAGCCCAATGCACACTGAGAACTAAACAAAGACTCACTACAGAGAGCATATAGTATCTGGAATTTCTGGTATCTGTGTTTCAAACCCACAGTGACAAACAAATGGCTAAGGCAACATCTGTGCAAACGCAGGCTTAGAAAACACCACGTACACAGAACTGGGGGAGAGAGAGCAGATGTAAAATATAAAATGGGGGATGGTTATTTACTTTTACACTGGCATTCCTAAGAACAAATCCAAGACTGGAGACATTTTAGAGCTCACCAACGCTGTTTCCTAAAAGTGGTGCTCATACAAAATTTATTTGCATTAGTAAATATGTTTTGTAGATTCTAATTTGTATCAACATACTGTAACAAGGAAACAAAGCATTTCATTTGTTTTCCTACAAATAATACATGCTCTTTGACAATTATAGCATGATTCATGTGTATTAATTATATGTTTAACTACCTTGGTTAAGGTTAGGGAAAGATCATAGTTTTTGTTATTGAGAAAGCCAACACAGGGTTAACGCATGAGACAGGACCCATCGACTCTTTACAGAACTTAACCAAAACCTAACCAGTGGTAAGTCCTAACACCATGTGGGGAATATGTACGAGCCTTGTATGGTAAATCTAACCAAGCAAAATAAGGATGTCACACTTCCTAGACTGTAACTTTTCTGTTGTCAGCGAATGGAGTCCAGGCAACAATTACATTTACCTCAAAACTCTATTTGGCATAGCAAATTAGTAGTGTATAAACTTATCTTTTAAGGCAGGGCTCAGCAACCTTAGGCACCGTGCCAATGGAGGGTTAGGGTTAGCGGTAGCTTAACCAATGGCACATTAGCAATAAGTGTGCAAAAGAATTTTTGTGGAAATGCTGCCCTCTCATCCGCATGCCAAATTGCCTCTTTTGCAGCCATAGGCAGTTGCAATGCCTGTCTCATAAAAGCACCTCATGGCTGTATGATTTCAACTTAGATATTTTCATATTGATGGCAGCCTTCTTGTATAGTGCTCTCGTATATAATTACAATGTCTTATTATGGGACTATTAAATTTTGCTATGCACGTTGCCTATATGGATGAAATACAATTACAGATCCTGCTGGAAATTAAATTATTGATGAGGAGGCATAATCCAACTTAATGCTAATCTTATGTTGATATGGCACACTGAATAACAAGAATTCAAATTTCAAAATGGCTGCCAAGCACTGTCTTAAGGCAATAAGGTGGCACTGGAAGGACAGGATTAATGCAAGGTTGAATCCTCCTCTCCTTAACCTACTTCTGAAATGTTTTTTTTAGGCCTTGTGGTTTTAACATGGCAGCCTAATGATGACATCCAAATGAAAGGCTAGCAAAAGATCTCATTATGTGTAATTTGGAAGGAACACTGCCCAGACACCCCAGTCTATCCAGCACAAATGCAAATTTATAGGACGGAAATTCACACATTTCTGGAAATTGCAGCCATCTTCAGCTGTGCATTTATTCTAATATGCTGCTCAAATTTTTACGGTATACCCAGACAGTCTGTAGTCTGAGACAATAGATGAAAGACCGCCCATGATCAAAGTGAATTAATCCACGTCGAAACACTTTCCCTTTTGCGGCCAGACTCCGGGGTGACATTAAAAATGTACTTGCTGTGCTTGTTAAAAGTTCTTTGGTCTAGGATTAATTATGTTGTTGATGAAATCCCCTTCCCTCACCCCTCTCCCAGCAACCCCTGGACCACACCCTGGGTGCCCTGTGGCCTCATAAGTGGGACCCACGTAGACAGAACTGAGCCAAGGATGACGTAAAGACAAATTCTCATGAAGACGAGCTGACTGGGGGAAAGGAGGGCTGCCCTTTCCATTGATCTGGACTAGTAATTAAACTTTCTGTGGAGTGATCAAAGCATTTGGGATAAAAATAAAACCCATTCTTTTACAATCATGGAGCAATTGTGGGTTCTCTTGCAGGGTTTAGGGGACCAAGTGACTCACCAGTGCAATTGCAAAACCATCCGGTTGTACCACCAAAAGAGGGTTACGTCAAAAATA